TTTACTTTTGTCAGGAGAAAGAGTCGATTTTAGCAAAAACTTAAGTTAACAAAATATTTATCTATTTATATTTTAATTCATTAATTCATTCAACAATTTTCTGCTTCTTATATGGGAAGTGGATAAATGATGTGAATAAATTCATGGAATTTGTAGACCTTAATTGATTGTTTTCCTTGACCTTGAAAAAGCTACTGAATTGTAATCTATGTATCTGTTGTATTCTATTGTATTTTTTATATTAAAAATGCTTTGAAAAGTCTTAAATTTAACTGGTGTACACTGCAGAAACATAGGGCTTGATAAGACACCTTCCTACAAGCAGAGCATCACCCACACACAGTTGTAAAATTATTCCTTCTTCTCCTTCCTCACTGATGCTTCTGTGCCTCACAAAATGTCAACATGCTGTGTAAAATACAGCAACCCTCTTTATTTATACGTTTATAGAAATGAAGTGAACACTGGACACAATAAGAATGGGCTTACTTTGTTTCGTAATTCCAGATGCGGACAGAGTGGTCCAGAGAGCTGGTGGCTGCGAGGGGCTTCCGAAGGCAGATGGATAAACCAGTGATGGACTTCGAGTGGAAGGATTGGGACAGGAACTCAAAATATAGTGGTTCTTCCTAAAAGGTTATAGAGTTTACATCTCAGGGACAGGCTAACTATCTAGATAAAGAGAATGTTGTCCTGATGTCCACAACATGTGGGAAAGAAAGTGCCACAGAGGAAATGCAAGAGAATGAAGGCAAACACTGGCATGTAAAACACAGAAGAATAAAATAAGGAAAGAAAGATACAAGTGAGTATTAGAAAATTAAATGACTGATTAGTATAGTGGTAGAGGTGGTAAGAGTGGTGGTAGCAGTGACCATGTGAGGATTCTGGTAGCAAATGGCACTGGCTTAAAAAATACAAGGGACTGCATTGGCATGGATGAAAAACAATCAAAGGAAGGTATTTTTGGATTTGGGTTACAGATCCATGAATTTCAAGGTTTATCAAACACCAAAACAAAGAACACCTTTTTACAACACCATGAGAAGATTTTGCAACTCTGGAAAGACAACAATTGTTTTACCCTTCCGTCTTGACAATCATGTGGTAAACAGAATTACCTCATTCATGTTAAAAAGTAAGCAAGAACCCAACGTCAGCTAGGATCAGCTCCAGCACCCACTATCCTCTAAAGGATAACTGAGTACAGTTAATGGTTGGATGGACAATAAAGATAAATCTACCAAGAATGTGCGCTTGTACATATTTGATTGGCCAAAAAAGTGCCTTCTCAGATGACATCAGATTGCAATTTGGAAAATGTTTCTGGACAACCCTGCATTTTTTGCCAGAGCCCTCAGCGTTAGCACCCAGGCTGTGTCAATGCAGTGATCTTGTTGTCTCGAATCTCTTTTTTTAATGTAGCACTATTGTTGGTTTGAACCGTCAGTGGTGATGCTGGTGGAGGTGGCAGTACTACCTTGTTGATGTCCACAGAGGACAGGCTGAGGCTGTACAGCTGTCCTTGGTCTGTACTGATGGCCAGAGTTTCCTCTGCTGGACTGATGCACATGGTGTCAATCTCCTGGCATTCAGCCCGGGTCACCTCATTACTGTATTTGTCTGGTGGAATCTGACAGAAAAGAATACACATATGATCACTTAGAAACATACAGAAAGCCTACAGTGTCACTGTTGGTTGTAAGCAAAAGGCTTTACCTGTATCTCCCTGCTCTTTCTGTAACTGTCCTCCTCTGTCTTTTCAAAAAGACAGACAGTGCCAGGACCCATAGAACACACAAAACCCTTGGAGTAGGACAGGATGGCTGTGATGCGAGAGACAGTGGGGGCTTCCTCCATGTCAGTGTCTTTGATCTTCCTTGTCTCTGCTTGCCTGTACAGTTTTAATAACATTTAAAAATGGCAATTTCACAAAAAACAAACAGATCTGAGGCTCATTAATTTCCCCCTATAACAACTGGTCTACATAGTTTTTAACAAACATCACTTAAACAGGAGGAAATGGTGCATTTGTCAAGGAGTATTTTGAGAAGTGGATTAATACACATTTGGTGCTCTAGTGAGTATTTGAATTGGCAAGACAGTGTACAGCATGTGGGATTGATTCATGTGTGTTCAGTGGTGTGTTTTTAATAGTTTGTAGAGAAGAGGAATAAGATACACTTGTTAGCAGAGGTGGGACATGGTCATTGTTTGCCAAGTCACAAGTGACGTAAAGTCTTGCTTGAAGCCCTACAGCAAGTCCACGTGGCACTGCCAACATGATTGTCCGTTGTCAATGTGATTAAAAATATATCCACTGTGAAGAAAATGTATTATTGTTTCTCAGTATTCTCTTTTTTATAACATGATAAGTCATTCCAAGTCAAAAGAGTCCATGAGAAGTCATGAGTCATTAGTGTTTCAAAGTTGAGGTGCAAGTCATTAGATTAATGACTCAATTCTACCTCTGTTTGTTAGTAGAATCAATTCATTGTTTGGTTAGGTGTTTTGGTAGGATTTGGTAGAAGAGTATAGTTTATCAATCTATTAGTTAGCAGCTGACCTGTCAGACTTCTCCTGTGCTGCCTTAGAAGCTGTCTTGATTTCTCTTCGCAGGTCTCCAGACTCAAACACCAGCAGCCTGCCTGTGTCAGTCCCAGCGATCACCCGCTCCGCTGTCATCCAGTTATGACACAGGAAGTTGATGGCCTCCACCTTTGGGAAGCTGCTCTGTTTCAGGGATCCCTCTGAGTAGCGGAACAACTTGAACACACCAGTTCCACTCACACACAGCTGCATGTTGTTGTAAGGGTTGAAACTGACCTGAGGAAACATCATTAAAATGGTATATTAAACACATACATCACCTGTAGGCTGGTCTGGCACAGTATGAATGACTCACCTGGGTAACAGGATTATTTGAGTTACTGGTCTTCACCGATGCCAGGACTTTCTGTTTTTCCCAAAGCCAGAAGATCAGCATCCACTCTGGACCACCTGTTTGCCCTATCAGGTACTTAGAATCAGGGGAGAAAGCCATGCATACAAACTCGTGAACAAGCATATCCCCTGCAGTCAGAACTTTTCTCTTTCTGCCCTGCTCATGCTGCAGGTCGAACACTGTTATGGTGGCCTTCTCACCACACTCTGACACTGCCAGGTAACGCCGATTGGCACTGATGGCCAAAGCACGCATGCCCTGGCTTTTCTCTGAGCCTGAGACAAAGAGAAATACCAATAGGTGAATAACTAAATAAATAAATAAATAATAATAATTAAAAGTAGTACTTTGTGTTACACAAAATGTTAAGTAAGTGTAACACCATGATGTGGAACAGTCAACAATCAATCAGCCTACCTGGAATGAACCTCTGACATCTTTGGACGGTGTTGTAGCGCACACAGTTGTTTCCACAGGGGAAAACGACAGTTTGCTCATCGAAGAAACACAAATTGTTTGTCACTCCCGTCCGTAAACCGAAGATGAAATGGGACTGAGCAACTGCTGTCATTTTCACAGTGTTTACAGTTTTTTAAGTTAAAAATGATTAAAAACGACAAAGCTCTCCACACAAAAGACTATATCACCGACAGAGATTAATTCAAAAGAGTATATGCGACTGACTAAACACTCCGGGATGGGTAGGCTAGTATGATTAGAGTCGCGTCGCTAGGCAACCCAGGAAATCCCGCGAGAACCTGATAACTCATTTAAAGTTCCCAAGCTACCGTTCACTGCCGTCGTTGGTGCTAAATACTTGTTATTTTCACAATATCATTGAAACAACAACTTCCCCCCGCTTCTACCTTGACCCCACAAACTGTAGAATAGTTTGCCTGCTAATTTCTGGTGTCCATTGCTTTCTAAAGGCACGCCTCGTATCGCGAGATTTCAAGGGTTGCCTAGCGACGCAACTCTCTCATTAATGGCACTGACACCAACTAATAGCCTGAAAGACGTTAATCCTGGGCTGAGTTCTGACCAGAAGTAAAGTGCATCAAGAACTGTTGTTATTAATTGAATATTATCAAATACTATCATATTATACAGCTAATTTATATATGGGAAATAGTATACTTTTTACTTTATTTGTGAGTCATAGTACTTAGCATATCAAGATTTTACATACAAAATCATCTTAAAAAATTAGACAGTAGATTAGAAAAATAATCTGATAAAACTGTCAATTTTAAGAGGCCTGTAATTGAGTGGATACACCACATGAGTTGACATTTCAGTTTTGCTTGGTAGAAAAACATAGTTAGAATTCAACATTTATCACCAGTGTATGAAAGTCTGCAATTAAAATGATCACTAAAACAACAGGCCAACTTCTACACCGACAAGTGGACAGAGTAGAGTTATGATGTTTGGAGAACAGATATCTATTGTTACCTGCTTTCAGCCAGGTTTCAGTAAAGTGGTACTTTGGTGTGATAGGCTACCTAACATTTTGGATCCTGGGTTGTTTTTTTTATGCCTGCTACATAGATGAGGATCAGGTTATTTGACTTGGCAGCAGTGACAGTTAGACAGTTCATTTTCAGACATAAATAATAAATCAAAATGATACAAAATGCATACTTCTAGGCTTTAATGGCATGACTCAGTGACAAGTGAGTGGTTTAGTATTTAAGGCCCCCATTTCAAGACAGCAATGACTATGCAACTGACCCAAGTTTCGCGTGTCAGAAAGAGTACTTAATTAAAGGTGAATCTGCTTTATTATACGGAGAAACAGGTATGAGGCAGTAACCATAGATTATCGTTGACAATGCATTTAATAATGTAATAGAATGGTTGCACTTGTATGGGACATAAATCTTATGTTTTAGTTCTTGCTGTTTTATGTGGGCATCACTGGGTTAGGGTTAGGGCATCTACAGAATGTTCTGGAGGCATGTACATTGATGGTGCAGTAGCATTTCCAAACATGACTGATGTTAATAAATAAACCACCTTAATGCACCATTAAAAAACAATGACGCATCCCAAGACTTGAAAGAACACTAATTGTGTGTTGTCAAAAATAGGCTGCATTTCTTAGTGTGCTTTGAAGATGTGTTTGTACTGACAAAGCCTTGTAAACCTGTTATGATACATTTTATCATGAGATGTCGATGAATGAAGCACATACATTGAGATGCAGCTTCCTTTAAGCCCTATCAGGCATGTTATAATTCCAAGTGGAAGTTGATACATTTCACAGACTACTTCATGCCCCTTTAAAGTTTAGCTTATTTCAACATTTTCACATTCAGAACTCTGTTGTGGAAAAATAAAAAATCCGTATAGATCATGAAAGAGTTAAGTGCAATAAAAGCTCTTGAAAAAACATGTTTAAGCAAGAATTTACCTCATATGTAATAAAGCCCTTCACTACAATAATTAACATTCTAGACTAATATTCCTTTATAGATGATAAGGTCTGAGGAGTATATAAGCTACAATATAATACACTATACACATCAATCAGCCTGTTTCTGGACCACTGGTAAAGTTTCCGGCATCTTTAAACAGGCTGTTGGAACAGCATCCCAGCAGGTGGCAGTCTTGTTTAGCAGGAGATGATGAGAGCATTCAGAGACTGCTGACTCTGTGTTCGCTCCAGAGGTCCACCAGTCGACAGAATCTCACAGGCAGCCAGTTCATGATAGAGAGCGTTGAGCACCTCCAGAATGTGGGCTTTTCCTGTTCAAAAACAGAACAGATGTGACCGCTGTGGGACTCATGTTACAAGGCCCGGCGAGATCTTAATTTAATTCCCTGCCCTGAGTAACTGTAAGTTTTCATTATCACATTTCACAGGACTTGCATTGATTTTATTGGGCATGTGAGCTCCACTAACCGTGTTGTGGGTCGCTGCAAGACTCCAAAGTGCTGAGCAAGATTTTCCCGAGAGACCTCCGCGAGACGTTCTGTAACAAGAGCGAGCTATTCTCAGATGGCTATCAGGCAATTAACAGGCACTTTAACAGACAGTCTGACTCTGACAGCCGCAGAGGCACTCACACATGTTCAAGTGAAATTAATTTGCTCTCAGATCGTTAATCAAGCTGTTATTATTTCTCTGGTGGGTAAGACATCTGCTTGCTGATTCAACAGGTCAAAGTGAACTTTTGATGTCACAGTGTCAATAAGTTAATGTCTATATGGAGGTGGGTCCTTGAGCAATGCTAGTGAATACTTTTAATCTGTGTTTCTCTCTGATGAAAAATCACTCCAGTGGAGTGTGGGTGGATTTTCTCTAAGCTGCCAATGGTGCATAATGATTTTCATTACTTTGAGTAATGTTCCAGTCTAAGTGCTGTTCACAAGACTTTTCTTGTGTTAAAAATCAAAACAATATTTTTGGACTTTAGAGAATGGTAAAAACATGCATCACAAAGCCTTCAGTCCAATAGTACTATCAGAACTGACTTCTTAAGACTCAATAGCGCAGTTAGGCTGAAACTGTGACTAACCAGTTCTCTGAGCTGCTGCAGGAGCTGCAGGATGTCCACAAGTTTCTCCTCCACCAGTGACAGACGAACCCTCTCCGTCTCCAACATTTGCAGCTCCATCTGAAGCAGCTCTGTCTCCTCGGCCTTCTGCTGAAGCTCCTGGACCAAAGAATCCTTCATCTGAAACACACAACACAGGTCAGTCCAACTAAAGGACAGTCACCTCCTCCTGCCTGGAATAAGGCTAGGTGTCATACTTCATGATAGTCATGATACATACATCAGTCAGAGACACTGACACACACACACACGCACACACACACACACACACACACACACACACACACATAGGATCAAGTTATTGCTGGTTTTGGTCTTTGGGATTTGTTTAAAATAAGAAAAATATATAATACCAACAACCTTATCCTCTTCACTGAATTTGAGAAAGCTTGCGAGAGCAGGTGGATATGTCACTCTTGGAAACATTAGGCCCTATAGGCCTGCTAAACATCCTGATACAATCTAAATATATCCAGTGTAAATTTATGTCAAATGATGGGGTTAGAAAGTGATTTTTCAGCCCATATTTTGTAGGTTTGCCTGCCAAAAATGTTGGAAATCCCTGCAGCGCACCTTTACGTCACAGCATATTGAAGGACAAAGGTCTCACCCCACACATCCTGCACATAAACAAAGCTTCACAGTCAGGACTTTGTTTGGTTTTCACTTTTCCTGTCTGAGTGCTGAGACGTTCTGGGAACACATTACGTCACAGTTCCCCTTCTGCCTGTCTTCCTGTGTTGTGAAAATACTACTCAACTGTAACGAGACAGCTTTAATTTATGATATTCCTCAGTGTCGCACGGGACAAGAGGGAGTGTTTCTGTGGTCAGCTCCAGTGAGAAACAGCTGCAAACACACACACACACACACACACACACACACACACACACACACACACACACACACACACACACACACACGCACACACAAAAGCACACACACACATGCACATGCAGTGGGGGGCTCTGCAGCCGCTGCTGGTGGTTTGGTTAGGTGGAAGCTGTAAGATCATGCCACTAGCTGTGGTTTTGCTTTTGAAGCCCTCCACTTTCATAACAACCTTCCCCAGTCCTCTGTAATCTAGTTTAACACCATACACACAGCCACAAAAAGCCTTAATGATATAAAGCAAGGCAGAACACTGTCCAGAGAGAACAGCTCAGTGCAAATGTATCCAGCATAGCAGGGCAGAGGATACTGCAGTGGCCCACCCTGGTGTGATGGAGGTCTGTGGTGGTTTGTACCTGGTCCATGTCTATCTCTGCCTGGCTCTCCTTAAGCTCCAGCTGCTTATGCAACCTGGTCACCCTCTCCAGGAGCTCCACCACAGCGCTGCAGCTCTCCTCGCTCCTTGAGCTCCCGAAATTGGACATTAGCTTCTTGAATGCCTTGTCGTCACACCTGGTGAAGAATACACAAGAGAAAAAAGGAAGTCTATCAGGCTCAGAGCCACAGCAGCTGGATTAAAGACTTTGACAAATGTTAGGAGAATGATTCGTCTCACTACTCTGTCTCAGCACAAGTCTGAGCTGGCAGTGTTTTATTGTGGATTTCGTTCTTATTCAAATTTTGAAATACATAGCAAAATTCTAGCACACTAGTACAAACCAGCGTGGTCGCTAGTCTGTTGCTTTACTTTTAGACATTCATTCATTCATTCATTGTCTACCGCTTATCCTCTAGTAGGGTCGCGGGGGGGCTGGAGCCTATCCCAGCATCCTTTTCGGGCGAGAGGCGGGGTACACCCTGGACAGGTCGCCAGTCCATCGCAGGGCACACAGAGACAAACAACCATTCACTCTCACAGTCACACCTATGGTCAATTTAGAGTAACCAATCAGCCTAGTCCCCATTTGCATGTCTTTGGACTGTGGGAGGAAGCCGGAGTACCCGGAGAGAACCCACACAGGCACGGGGAGAACATGCAAACTCCAAGCCGGGACTCGAACCCGGAACCTTCTTGCTGTGAGGCGACAGCGCTAACCACTTTACCACCGTGCTGCCTACTTTTAGACATTTCAGATGTTTTTCAAGTGTGTATTGGATTGAGAATCAACACCAATTCCTGGTTAAACTTTCACAATAAAATACCATATTTGATCATTTATTTGATTGTAGGTGTGACTACGAGTGTGAATGTGGTTGTCTGTATGTGTCAGCACTGCTGTAGATAACCTATAACCCCTGTGAATCTACTTAGGATAAGTAGTTAAAGAAACAGTTTAATGGCTGAATAATTAATGTCATTGTTATCTTCGTAACAATGTATTTCTATTTCTGTAGACACATCTCTGTATCACTGTTTTCCATGATTGGTGACAGACACCACAATACCTGTGCAAAATTCAAATACACCTTGGCATACAGGGACCACACAAAAACAAAAAGTAAAACTCCTAATGATTAAAATAGAATGCTCCTTTTATTATCATTCTTTATATTAACGGTAAATCAAATAGATATGTGTAATGTGAAAGCAGTTACTTGGAATAACAAACAGAGAAATTCCACCTGATGCTTTGGCGCCATGGAGCTTTTTTAGCTTCTTGTAGCATACTGCTTTGGTTTTATGGCACATTTACTATGTGGTTCTTTTTCATCAACCTTGTTTACAACAGCAGAAGGCAACTGTTCTAATAACTTATCACTTTCTGACCAGCACCAAACAGCAGACAGAGAAAGCTGGTGAAGAAAATGAAACGTCTACCAACATTTTAAAACCATAATCAGGAGCTGGCAGACATGACAAGGAAACAGCAGCAGATAAACACCAGTGAACAAGTGAACAAACAGCGCTCACAACATCACAAAAACTTCAGTTATTTTAAACCACTGTTAAAGGAAAGTTTATATCTGCTAATGGCAAATGCTTCTTTAAGCATCAGTACGTCCCAATGTTTACTTTGATCCTTATTACAGTGTGATTGTATATTGTCCGTTGTCTGCCACCATGCCTCTATCCTTCTCTGGACTAACTTTACTCTTACATGTGTTGAATATTAGTGGTTTCAGGCCATTTTTTCAATCAAATTAAACATAACAAGTTAGCTGTACCAACATTAGCTTGTTTTGGACTTCTTCTGACTCCAGGTGGCTAAAAATGACTAATGTAGGTTTAAAACATATTTTTATCTTGTTCCATGTTTCATTTTGTTCAAATTAGTAATATAAAGAGTTACCTATCTTATCATACATCAGTAAATTGAGGCACACTACAAAACAGTGTTCAACAGTGTTCAACAGTGTTACTAGCTTGCTGTACCTTTCCCCACAGCAGGACAGCCTGGTCAAGATCCTCTTCACCTCGTCCACCTGCCTCTGTTGGTCTTCGGTCCATTTGTCCTCCTCCTCGTCAGAGGCGGCCTGGCCCTCCACCGAACGAAACAGCTGCTCCTCCACTAGATAGATAGATAGATAGATACTTTATTTATCCCCCTAGGCAAAATTGGTGTGTACATTAGCTCATTGTTGATAATAATAAAATTAAATATAATAAATAAACAATAATAATTAAATTAGTCCACTTCCTTTGGCTGAGGTGTTGTATAGCCTGATGGCAGTGGGAACAAAGGATCTCCTGAACCTCTCTGTTCTGCACTATTATCATCATTACCAACGGTGTAAGAGAAGAAAAGTGGGCTCGTGATCATAGGTTTATCTATTCAGATCTAAGACTGGCTGCAAAATTGTGGAAGGGGGAAATTAACTTTCCGTTTCATCAGCTACTGCGAAAGTGTCCTTGGCCGACATAATCATGTGTTAAAAAGGTTTCTGATAATTCTCCAGTAAGAGACATTAGAACTGGATTCTACGTCAGAAGACATCTCACTTTTGTCTGGGGTCGTCACAGCACGCCCTGTTGGGGAGCAGCGGTCGTGTTGAGAATCCAAGCAGCATCTCTGGCCCGACCTGCTGCCAACACTCAGCTGCTGCTCTGCCCTGGTACTGCTTGGGAGTTGTAGTTTTGACACCTCTGACCTGAAAGGGAGCACAGTCAGTTCAATACAGCTGTTTGACTGCAGGTTCTCTGTACATACATGACCCCGTCTGTGCTGCTGCGAATCTTCTCTGACACTGACCAAGGGGCTAAAATTGCTCTTCAAATATGCACAGATGAGGAACGTTCAGTCCAAACCAATTCCCAACATCAAAGAGAACATATCAAGTAACACAAGGCAGTATGTATTAAGCCACATCTACAACCGCCATGATAATTTTATAGAGGCCTGTGATGTTGTACGCCAAATCTGGGTGGGGTAATTGAAGCCAGACATTGTATCTTTAAGGCATTTTACAGTAAAGTGGGTCAATGGAAGAATGGCGCTATTAGTGTGTCAGAGTTAGCTTGCAAGATGTGAGGTAAACGCACACTGGATGGTACAAAATTGGAGCAAAAACTTTTTTTTTTTATACATGAACATTTTTTAAGCTCTGTTAGACATCTTTTTATGTGCAGATAAAAAGATATGTAACATTTATAGACTATATGCCATGTTTTTTATGTCATGGACATATTCAAACATTTATGCCGAAAAAAATGAGACTACAGTTCGTGTGGATCAATTCTGTAATGGTTTGAATTTTCTAGGTTTCTCCTGCTGTCTGCTCTTTTGTGTTGGGGGAAATCCGATAGGGGGCCTTCGTAAATCACAGAATAAGTGTTTCCAGATGATGATGTCTTGCCGAAGAAAAAAAAGAAAAAAAGAAAAAGAAAATCTCGAAAAGGTTTTCAACAGCCTGACTCTGAAAAAAGGAAAAAAAGTCACGGAGCCCTCATGCTTATATCCTGTTGGCACGAGGCAGACTATGCTGTAAGACAACATTATACTCTGCATCTGTGTACCACTTTAGATTTCTTTGTGCAAAACTGGGGAGAAATGTCTGACCTCACTGAAGGTCAATAATTGCAGCATGATTTCAGGCAATCAATCAGAGCGTCGTGTTTAAGTTAGTGGGGGCCATGGTGGAGGAAAGACTGAGTTAGTTCATGAGAGCCAGCAGCTGCAGTTGCACCAACATGGGGATGGTGTATGGACGTGAACACACACAAAACTTTGCTGGTTGCTGTGGAAACGGTCGGACTGTGGAATGGTGGAGGGCTTTTTCAAATGCAGGCTCTTGGTGTGACTAATTGCTCTTTAATTGACAGTGGCTGGAGAGAGGCTGCAGCCTATGTCCAGCAAATACTGTAGCAAGGCCACAGCCTCTTGTTCAGGCCTTTGACATGCATTGAAGGTTAAAAATGGCTTTGTGTCTTGAGAGACAAAGAAGACCCTTACTTTTGAGGCTAGTAAACTGAATGACCTCCCCACTTTCACACAAAAACTACTTCTGAATTGTTTTTGACTGTGGTTGAGATTTATACTGTTTAAAGAGGGTTTCCCATTACATGGTTAGACAGTGATGAGCTACACTGAAGTGTTGAGTGGTGGTGCTGAGTATGGGAATTCAAACTGGAAGAGCAGAAACACCTGAAAGTAGTCCAGACAGACATCCTGGATAGTGGTCAGATTGTGGGAACAGACAAAATTTGATCAGTGTTTCATTAGACAGGCATCAGAGCTCTCGCCAATGTACCAAATGCAAAAGCAGCATGGGAAGAGTTTGACCTGCCAAAATGAAAATATTAATTCATTTACTTATTTTGCTGAGACAGGGAGAAAGTGAAATACACTGCAGACTTCACAGTGTCATTCCAAAACCAAACTGTTTTGGTCCAGTCTCATTAACTATGTTTCCAGTAGCATCAGGCAGGTGTTTCTAATGGAAAAGCTCTGATCAATGTAAACTGCCTGCCCAGCACCAAATTACAGCCAGATAAAGTTAGTGACTCCGCTAGTTTACCATTTAGCTAGATATTTCCTCTAAGGAGTTGGCAGAAACCATAATAAAGCAAAGCAGAGTGAATACAGTTATATTAGCCAGGGAACAAAAACCTTCAGATGAATGCTAATGTGTCTCCAAGCTTTTTAGCTTTGCTTAGCTCCTTGTTTTGGTTTCATGGCACATTTGAAGGATAACAGTTAAGTTACAGCTCGCTTGAAACACATTTGCAGCAGCTGCTTTCAGCAAAAAAATCCATGCTACCTGCTCAGCACCATACAGTAAACGGACACAGTTGGAGCCTAGCATATGAAGACATTCAAATGTTTAGCAGCTGAAAACCCAATATTTTTCTCAGAAGTCCGGGGAGACCAAACAAAGCCAAAAGGAAAGTGAATCCTGCACTTACATGTACAGTAAGTGGACAGATACACAACTTCAAATGAAAGATAATGTTGCTCTGTGTTTGCTGGACTAGTAAATAGACATTCAACTGCTAACACATTAGCCATAAAAACTTTATAATGTAAATATGTCACAACTGACATAAAAATAAATTAATAGATAAATAAATAAACTGATTAGTGCTGCTTTAAATATCACACCTTGAGGAAAATTTAGCATTTTGTGCTGCTTGTCTTTTGTCCTGTTCATAAGCTGAAGAACAGTGAAATCGTTATTGTCTGCATTAGGTCGTAAAGCAGCTAGGTATAGAATCAAGGCAGAATTTAGCCGTACAAATTTTGATGTAAACTTGAAACAGACCTTTCAAGGAATTTCTAAACATTTCCTGAACCCTCTATATGGTGTGACATAGGATGCTATTCTTCACAATGAAGGAAAAGCCATCTGATAATTAGATCAGTGTATAATTGGCTTGACGTTTAAATTCTTGGCAGCGAAACTGCAGTGGTATAGTTAAATATATGTGGAAGCATTTTGGAACCTATATAATGGAGGCCTAATTATTACAACATCCCTACAGGCACACACACACACGAGTAAAATTATACATGAAGAGCTCTATTGTGCTATGTCAGGGCATTTCTAATTAATAGGATCCTGTATTCTGCCCTATTAGCAGAAGCCTAGAGATGTTCTTTTGGCTTGTGGGAGGTACTCCAGCTGTATGTTGTTACAGCCAGGACACCCAGAGTCCTCCCTCTGGGTGTCCCTGTGTTTATCACAGTGCGGCACTGAGGTGAACTTTCCATCAACACACTGCCCTCCCATCACTGCTCCCCCTCCTCCACTCCCCAAAGAGCAGTTTCCTCTTTCAGGTGTCATCGGTCAATGACAGTCTCCTTTCTCTGAATAGGTTAGAAAAGAGGGGACGCTGTAAACTTGAGCTTGAACTTAAATTTCTTTTTGGTGCCCTGTAGCATGACGGAGACAGGTGAGGGGGTCATGTTTACATAGCTGACGGTTATTAATCAAGTCCTCTCTCAAGTACAATGAGGTGGTTCTGGGATACAAGTAAAGCAGCTACAGGGATGTGATTATTGTATAGCATTAGATGAAGACTTAATCCAAAACCAATGCCTGTAACATTTACAGAGGGTGGTTAAGCTTTCCTTTGCAAGCGAAGTGCAAAGAAACCCCCAAAGTCAAACAAACGAGGGTATTAAAAGTAGAGGGCAATATACAGCGAGAGAAGTCCAACAAGGGTGGGTGGCATAGGTTTATAAGATATTTTGTGTGTGATGTATTTCTGCTGATGTCAGCATACCTTCAAACCAGAGAGAGGGGGAGCAGGGCAGTGGTTCAACGTGAAAATGAGCCCACTTGGCAATGTGAGTTTTTGAAGGCTGTTCAAGAACAACAGTAAGGCAGCAGCAGCAGAACGCCACGGGTCCCACACATCCCACGAGTGTGTCCTTTCTACATTATTTAAAGGGTAGGAATGTCGTGGCAGCACCTGCTCCACACAATGCTGCAGCTCTTGTGCGGAGGCAGATAAATGGTCTACTAGACCCTCCTCTTCCCTTCACTCTCAGGCACCATGCGGGGAGCATGAAAAGGCTAGGAGATTATGCCTCCCCTGAGGCCTGCCTTCAGAGGGCCAGGGGTTAGAGGCATACAGAGAATAAGTCTGCAGGCGTGCCGTTAAAACAAAAAGTGAGTTTTAAAATTGCACACTTAGGACACATGTGCTTTGCGGGCTCTCTAGAAATCCCTGGACTCTATAAATTTTTTAATGAGCGATTTTGTATCTCCACACTATATGTTTTCTTTTGGGCTCAAAAAGAAGATGAAAAGTTGAATGAAGCCATTCATCTCTTGAGGGGCATGAAAAACATGAATGTCATTTCATGAACAAACAGTTGAGTGTTTGCTTCTTCCTCCAGATGGTATGCTTTACTCCCCCTCATTTCTTTTTGTTCCTCTTGCTGTGCTTCCTATTGTCTAGTCTCTCTGGCCCACAGACCTCTAAAGGCTACAGTGACTGATTTAAACTCCCCTTTACTCTCTGCAACTTAAAGAAAGAACAAAAAGTGACACTTTTAGACGATCACAGTTACACAAAAACTTTCCTGTGCTAATCAACTCCTCTTGAGGGCGCGGCTCCCATCTGAGCTTCAGCCTCTGCTGTTCTCACTCACAATCCAAAGAAATCACAGGCGTTATGCAACAACACCCACACATCTTAAGTTTCATACTGACGACCACATTTTTTTAAACTCACTTGTGCTGGGATGTTGATGGAAAGTTGAAAGCGGATTTTCAAGATGAGGAAAATGTACATCAACAAAAAACACAAAAAAGGAAATCAAGATGTAGATCACATGTTACATGAACAGTTCCACATTTCAGGAAAAATATGTGAGCGATTCCTTGCTGAGACTTACTGCAGATGTGTAGATTGGTGCCATTAAAGGCAGTAAATATGAAGTTACTGCCAACAGTCGGTTAGCTTAGCTTAGCATAGCACAATACTGAAAATGGGGAAAGAGGCTGGCTATTTGCAAAAGTAACAAAAGCCTGCCTACCAGCACCTCTGCAGATTATCAGTTAACACATGGAATCACAACTTGTTGTTTCTGCTCTTCGGTTTTTGTGCTGGACAAAATATAAACTGTTTATTTCTGAGCAGTAGAGGTGCTAGAGACAGATTTTGTTACTTTTGGAATGAGCTGGGCTAACTGTTACCGGTCTTCAGCTATGCTAATTGACAGCTAGGTGTAGCTTTACAGTACAAAAGCTGTACCAAGAAATCAGCCACGCCAATATATTGACAAATATTGTCGATATATTGGTAGTGGTGTATATGTCGGCATATAAGTAACAAGAAATTTAGAAAAGGTGTCACTTTAAAATGTCCTGCTCACTATCTTAGTCACAATGAAAAATAAAAATCAAGGGGATCCATATCAAGATTATTAAAAAAAAATATTATCAACAATATATCGTTGTTGGTGGTAATCCTGTTGGGTTAGGGCTCAAACTACAAGTGCTTCCGGAAACTGTTCTTTGTGCAGCAGCTTATTACGACCCATAGTTATGCTTTATTGTTAAGCGACCTCTAGTGGCCATAGCAATTATGACAAGGAAAGGTGGAATTGTATAGAGAGCACCAAATTCAATGTTGGGAGGAAGTCGGGTGGATGGATATGTCGACAAAACACAAAACCTTGACATGGGAGACCGCTGTTCACTTCCTGGTTGAAACCAACAGTCAACGTGTGTTTCCTTCATCTATGACTATCTATTATTGTAACCATGACAACCCCCCCTAACCTTACTTATTTTAACCCAAAAACTAACCAAGTTCCATAAGCTTAAGCATGTGTTTATTATTGTTACCATGGCAATTAAGATCTGGTATGTGGCCATCAGTATGTAGCCACCGGTATGCAGCCATTGGTGCACTCCGTGTGTCTATTATTTTAACCATGAGGATGAAACTCCACCATGCCTGATACTATAGAGGGCACTAATTCAGGAGGCGTAGGGATAAACAACCTATATGGTCGTTTTAGGTTAGTGGACTTGTGCTTTCAACATCATATGGATGCATATGGATTTTCTCCATCTGTATCATCACTGTGCTTGAGTGGAATCCACAGGACAGAAGCAGTGCCAGATCTCACCCCCCCCCCCCCCCCCCCCCCCCCCCCCCCCCGGTATCTCTGAGATCCAGCAGCATCCAAGCTAATCTCATTACTTGTCACAGCAGTTTAGAAATAAGCCACAGGGATAAAGTTACGGTTAATCATTTCAACAGACCCCTAGACACATTACTGCATCTCTAAACCCACCGCATATGATCTGAGACATCTGACAGTGAGACAGCATGTTGAAAGAGTCATGACTTAATTTTTAAGATAAGTTGGAGTCACAGTAAAGAAAGACAAAAAAAGCATTGTAGCCTACTCAAATCTTTAAAGACAAAACCTAAACTGGAACGTCTGTGTTCTCTCCTGTGTCCTTGGATGAGATGTGACTGAACAAGCGTTGAGGCTTTCAGTGGGAATATACATGGAGCTTGGTTGCTAAGATCCATAGGACGGGGGTGCCTATGTGGTATTGTTCATTTGGGCGCGGAGTGAAAGAAGTGAGCGGGGATTGATGAGAAAGGCCAGTCTGTTGAGCTTCTCACTCAATGGAGCTCTCTCTTGACAAGTCAGAGCCTTTGTGGTGCTGAATTATTTGCCATTAGGGTATCAATGGAAGGGCAGTGAAAAGGCTTTGGAACGCAGTCTGCATAGATTAGTGGAGTTTAGGGTAAAAGGACGAGTATTGTGGCTGCTAAATTTGTTATTTAGAATCACCTACAGGCAGGTAGTAGTGAGGGCTTTAATCATATGGGTCTGGTTGTGTATGACTGTGGCTTGGAGTCCATAATAACAGCATCATGTAGATGTTACAACCATTCAGAGACATCTGCTATCGAAGAAAGCCAGACCTGCAGACACTGATTATATGGTTGGAGCGGGGACAACAGACACAGAGATAAACATTAAGCCAATGGCTTTGTACTTTAAAAGTCCAATTACACCCTTACTTCCACCAAAATGAATAGTTCCCAACAGTAGCGGAGCTCAGGCAGGACAGACCTGCCACACACGATGCCTGTTAAATAAACTAAAACACAACAAGGCTGAAAATTGGAATAGTAAACCACATCATAAATAGTATGGCAGAGTTTTCCAGGCATGAAGCCAGAGGTAAACAGAGTCATTTTATTCTAGGAGGAATTATAATTCATTATGGTTCATCTACCCACAAAGGCCTCCCTAATGCAATAACTTTCTAAAACAAGCCCTTTTTTTTCATGACATAATGAACAGCCAGACATTGTTTTGCTCGGGGTTAGACAGCTGATTGGACCTCATGGGGAGGTGGGAAAAAAAGGCTATGTCTACTCCATGCCCTCTCTGTATGACCGTGGGGCAGTATTTATTTTGATGATGTCAATTTAAAATCACAGGAAAATTTGAAGGAACCTTTCTATATAAATATATCTAAAAATAATCAATACGAAAGTCGCAAGTTGCAAACATTGTGTTGCAATTGCAGTGGTCTCACTTTCCAGCAGGGCAGTAGCCAGGATTTTAAGACATGACTGCAACTCTCCAGCACCACTGTCAACTACACCACCACCACTCGACCATTACTGTGTCACTGTCCTTAATGGCCCTGCGATGATGTTTCAAACAAACTAGTTTAACTTGATGCATCCTTGACCATGTGTAGAAGCAAGAGCAATAATGGTTCAACGATGACACTCAGAACCTGCTGTCAAACTGCTTCCTCCATCACTCTCTGTAATAATTGTAGAAATGGAAATAACAGAACAGACTTTTGGACAGTCTCTCCTCAAAGAAACTGATGGCGTTGCATTTAGTTGAACTAAACACACTAAAAGTGACAGTAGTAGTTTTGTGAAAAAGAAAGCTTGATTGAAAAGGTTAAATATTTCCTACATTCACACCTCCAAACACCTGCTGCATAAAGCTGGGAGTGACTGTTGAATTGGTGGTTTATGAAAGTTACAAAAAATAGTAGCAACAAATCAGCTGTTGAACTGGTGGTTTCAGCCGTTGACATGATCCAACAAGCACTTTCTTTCAAGCACACTTAAGTCTTCATGGTTAGGCTGTGGCCATCTAGCATTAGCCTGATCCCAGACTCAGAATCAGCACAAACATCTCTGACTTGTTTGGTAATACAGATAGGTCTGGTATTGTACCCTCTGAAGGCTATTTCCACCAGCTGGAGGAATAGCAACCATATGGGCTTTGTGGTGGGGATTAGGAATGCGGACGTTATTTTACATGACTAGCTAGCTGCTTTTCTACATTCATGAAAGCGAATAGCAACTGAAAGCTGGTGAGAGGTGTGAATGAGATTGATGCACCTGTAGCCTATAAATTGTTGTAACTCAATGCTCAGGAATAACAACTTTATGACATATTCCTTTTATCAATGTAAAAGCACTACTGGTGTTTTTGTCCACTGTTACTGCTAATGGTTTAATGAGTGGAACCCTGTTTTGGTCATGAACACGCAGGCAATGGTTTCATACTATGCACATTAACTGTAACACACCAAGAAAATTAGGAATGTGCCAATAAGAGGCAATGAAGAAGTCTTCTTCTTCTGCTAGCATACAAGAACCAAATTTGTTTGTTTACAAGACAACTCCACAAGACACCTTTAAGTTAACTACTCCTAGCATCCACCACTGTAGCTTCCCCCTCCCAACAAGAGTTCACCTACTACGAGCACAATGTGAGGCTAAATGAATTAAGTGAAACAAAAAGGCAATTCAAATGTCTGCATTCTGAGCTGTGACAATATTGTTATACTGTTGCCTAAACATTTGTGTAGTGTTTTGCTGATGCTAAAATACTACACAACACAGAGGTCTCCCATTTTTTACCTGTAGTAGAGGAGCTCTGATTCCAGTTGGAGGATGTGTCTCTGCAGCGTTGGCACATGACTGGCCTTGGCTTCCAATTCCTTCACTTTACCCAGCCCACTGAACAGCGCCTGCCGGGCCTCCTCCACTTTCCTCCTCATGCCCACCTGCTCCCTCTTCAGAGTTCGGTTGCAGTCCTCCAGAGCGGCTACAGTCTCTTTAGAGCTCCACAACTCCTGCTCAAGTCTCTGATTATACAGCATAGCCTCCTCGACCTGTCGGTCCCTGGAGCTCTGCAGCAGCTCTATCTCGTGGATGATGCTCTGCAGGCCCTTCAGGTTGCTGTAGGTACTGCTTTTCAGGTTGCCGTTGCTCATACTTTTCTGGGCAGCCTGTTTCTGGTGGGCAACAAAACAGCCTTCTTCTGGTTTGTGTTTGGAGTGGCTTTTCCATAGTCCTACCTGAGGAGGAGATTAACAGGTGACCTGAGGGAACTAGATCAAGAGATTACCTAAAAGAACTGAAATGTGACTAAGCAGGTGCAGCATTTGGCACCTCCTCGTGTTAAGGATTTGTACATAGTAACACATGGCTTTATTAATGTGACCCAACAGTTTTTAGGCTAACAGGTTGTGAAAAATATATCTTGTTGATGAGTATTAACAGTCAAGTCAATAATAAACTCTTCTGAACAGCTATGATGTCAGCAGTTGTAAGTCATCATTGGTGACAGTCACTTTCTCATAGACCGTGAATTCTGCAGCTGTAAATGTTAAGCATCAATAAGGGGTCATAGGTTTCACTTTCTAATAAGGCACTTTTTATTAAGGGTATATGAGTTGTAAATAATGCTCCAGAATTACACTTGCTTTGTGCTTTTAGTTACTTCTGTAGTTCAGCACTCCTCCAGTGGACTGTTGGACCACTTACCTTCTGGTAAAGGGACGCAGGGCATCTGGACTAAAATCCATTCATGAACAACTTGTACCACTTTTAATGAGGCACCGTTTGCAAAGGGTTTGTAACTTATAACTAATGGCTATGGTTGTAAATCATTCATTAATGCTTTATAGCTTAGTTACAAGACATCAATAACAACTGTTGATGGCAGTGGTTGTCTTGGGGCCCTGTGCAAGAACATGCCCCTGAGACCAGGTTGGCGAGAGGGGAGTCAGCAGTACCCCTGTTCCCTCACACAAGGACTGCTATTGTGCCTAATGACATCTGTTTTGTGGGGGCTGGTATGATCCAACTAAATGATATTACTATTTAAGAAATGTATGGACAAGAATCACGTTCAAATCTATAGTGAGTTTTCCACTTAGCTCTCCATGCCTCCTACTTTGGCAACACCCGCATTACCAGCAGTCTCACCTGCAGAGCCAGACAGCGTGCATCACTGCTCTGAAGTGCGGCTCGCATGTCCTCAATCAGCTCCCTCAAACTTGCATTCTCATCTTCCAGTTTCGTTATTCGGTCCTCTGCTTCTTCCAGTGCCACTATCTCCTCATAGCACTCCTTGGTGCAGGAGCCGACCCTACAGCCGGAGGCGTGCCGTCCCTCCACAGAGGGACAGGAGCCGCCGCTCACGCCCACAGACAGCAGCTTCTCTCGCCGCTTCAGAGGGCTTCTCAGGCGGATCTGAGTCTCTATATGCTCGCTGTCCTTCCCGACCAGCAGCCGGCCATTCTCATACTGACACCCCGCCTTGGTGCTGAAGTATCCGCACAGTTTGGCATGGAAGTGTCTGAAGGTGAGCTCGCCGGGTAAATTGTCTAAAACACCGGCGCATTCTGTTTCCTCCGAGTCTTTGTTCAGTCCTAAAACTTCACACAAGATGTTAAAGTCTTCCAAGGGGATTTTGCCTCCACCTTGATAGTCCATATGATGGAAAATCTCCTGTAGATACTGATCCAGCCCGGTGGCCAAAACTATAATTTCGTTCTCCACTCCCCGGTCCAGTCCGTAATGGTAAGCCAGAGTGCTGACGATCCATTGTGTCCTGCGCGCTGGTCGGCTGTATGGATCAGTGGAGTCTATCGCATCCATCATTTCTACTGAGCAACATCATATTTCCACAAACTTACAAGAGTAACCGTGTTTCTTCATGCAGCATCCCGTGTGTTTCGTGTTCATTCACTCTGCAGAAACTCGGGGCAGACTGGTGGAGCTTAAACGAGGCGTGTGTTAAGACAGGGCAGATTTGAATTTAGCACTGCCCCCAAAATCCAAAACCAGGGGTCCCAGCTATGAGTCAGTAACATACACATACTATAACGCTCTCATTCTGCCGCTTGCCTGAGTATAATTGCCACCAGGTGTGTAAACTTTTGTCATTCACTTGGGTTAAACCTTGTTAAGATGTAAGATGCCCAAGAGACTAATAGGGTGTGCAGCAGAGGTAGACTGTTTTCAGTGAAGAATTTTTACTGCATGGTCTGTATGTAGGGGTAAAAGACAAGCTGTATGACCTGCAATGTTCTCATATTAAACTCAGGCAAAACCGAAGTTATTGTACTTGGCCCCAGGCAGCTCAGAAACACATTATCTAATAGTTACTCTGTAAACGCACTGTCCTGGGCTCCAGCAGCCCCACGAGGAATCTTCGTTATCTGAAATCTCAGAGTTATCTTCGGCCAGGATATGTCTTTTAACTCCCACATAACGCAAACTTAAAGGACTGCCTTTTTTCACCTATGTTACATTGCAAAGATCAGACACATCTTGCCTCAAACAGATGCTGAAAAACTCTCCAGCTGATCCAAAATGCTGCTGCACATGTACTGACAACTAAAGAGATCATATTTCTCCCATATTAATAATAATTATTATTATCATAATAATAAACCTTATTTGTATAGAAACTTTCATACTTCATAGCTTCTTTGCATTGGGTCCAGACTAGAATTTAAAATCCTTCTCTTAACCTATACAAAGCTCTTAAAAAGCTCAAAGTACCCGATTAAGAACACTGTACTCCCAGAATGGAGGATTATTTGTGGTTCATACAGTCTCCAAAAGTAGAAGGGAGGCAGAGCGTTCAGCTGTCAGGCTCCTCTCCTGTGGAATCATCTTCCAGTTTTGATCTGGGAGGCAGATATCCTCTCTACGTTTAAAAGTCGCCTTAAACTCTCCTTTCTGGTAAAGGTTATTGTTAGGATTGGCTCAGGCTTGCCTTGAACAATCCCCAGGTTCTGCTGCTACAGGCAGGGGCTACTGGGTGACTTCCCATGATGCAATGAACTGCTCTCTCCTGCTGTCCCTCTCCATCTGTATATTCATATCCCATTATTGCATGTTACTAACTCAGCACCTTATCTCTCCCATAGATTCCTCATCTCTCTCCTCTCTCCTGTTGCTTTCTGCAGGTATTTCTGCCTCTGGAGGTGGAGAGTCTGGTCCCATGATCAACACCCACTACTACAATCATTATTATTACAAATTTGTGCTATGTTCTCTTTCTTCCTGCTCTCACTCTCTCTCTTTCTCTCTCAAGCCAGCAGACAGAGCCTGATTCTGCTCAAGTTTTTTCCCATTAAAAGGAAGTTTTTCCTTTCCACTGTCGCCAAGTGCTTGCTCATGGGGGAATGTTGTTGGATCTCTCTAAATAATATTGTGAAGAGTATGGCCTAGACCAGCTCTGTATATGAAAAGTGCCCTGAGATAAGTTCTGTTATGATTTGGTGCTATATAAATATAGTGTGACTTTTTGCACATTTTGCAGCTTGCTTTGTCCCTGATGTAATGCGTTTGTAATGTAATGAGTTTTTTTTCACTAGGAGCTTCTGAATGTGATGTTCATTAGTAAACATGTGGTCCATAACTACTTAAAGTTCCTCTCCATCGTTATTGTACAAAAATCTGCTGTATACAATAGTCTGTGTCTAGATTTATTAGGCTACTGATTTTTCTTCTTGTGAGTATTTTGAGTTATATCTATTAGTACAAATTCTCATATTCTCCATTTGTTGGAGAGTAGCCTGCCCATTCATCCTATCCATCCTTTAAGTCCTGTAGCCTAAATAAACAATAATAAAAGAAACAAATCTATGTAACTTCAGTGTTATCATAGGATGGTTGTATAAATCAATGAATGTATTAATGTATTAACATCAGCTTAAGAAAATGTAGGATGGCAAAACATTAAGGGTGTTATGAAAATGAATGAAATGTCTTAATAGCCTAGTTGTTTACTTCCTCACACCTCTGCAAACTCAGCAGGAGAAAATGAAGAAGGTCTATCTGCAACTGGAATGATGTAGATACATGTTTGTATACATTTTGGACATTATATGACAGCTAACTTACCTTAATAAATAATAGCCTGTTATCTTAAGGGGAAATTTATGGAAGAGGATTAGGGCCACATGAGAATTTTATCTGGGGAAAAAAATTAATAGAATTCTGGGGCGAGTTGCACAAAACACAGTAAGTTTTCTACTTAAGTATGACACTTAAGGTTTAATTTGTCCTTAGCTGAGGGAGTTACTTGAGGGTGTTGCACAGAATCTCTTAAAAGGTTTCCTTTTCAGGAAAAAAGTTAAGTAGTCTAATTTACAGCAGTAAAAGAGTTTTTGCAGCTGTAAAAATCTACTGTTTCCTTGGACACCACTGATTTGCTGACATTAGTACTTGTGATACCTGTTTTCACTTTTGGTAAGAACATTAAACATTGAAGAAGCCATTATCTCATCCTCCTGTTGTTGCACAAAAGACCTTAGCAACCAAAGTCCATCATGGTGAAGTTCCCATCAAAACAATTGTTAATTTAATGACTCCTTAATTATAAGGCTAAGATAAGGAGAAAACCTAAAATACGTAAGTGAACATTTCAAGGAAACCTTAGGGATAACACTTAAAATGGTGTGTTTGTAAGTGTTTTTATTTTAAGAAATACTTATTTTAAGAAAATTTTAACTTAAGGTGTTTTGTGCAACCAGCCCGACTTTAAAGAGCATTAACATTAGCATTAGTAGCATAATTCTGAGATTTAAATCAGAATTATGACAAAAAAATGTAGAAGGATTCCATAGAAATTATACTATATTGCAAAAATTAATTAATTACAAAGCTCCTTATATGATTTTATCTTAACTATAAATATCTTGAACCTGTCAACTTGTCAGCTACCCACCTGTAAACTGCTTCTTGCACGGTTGCACACTGAACAAAACCGTCCACAGACTGACAGACGTATAAACACCGACCAAAGTGCTCCAGACCCCCTTTGTGGTAGGTCCAGCTGCAGTGTGTCTCCAGGACCACGTTTCGCCATGATGGCAAACACACAACAGACTCACAAGGTGAAGAGAACACCAGTATGGTAAAGACAGTCCAAACGGCACTTGAGGCAGCTACACACCTCACTTCCTGCACTACTGTGGTTGCCATGGCGACGCGTTGCACTCAAATCATACTGGTGAAAGTTTATCTGACAGCCTGACCTACTTCAACACTTTACTACAGCACCTGACACTCATTATATTAAGTAAACCGAGTTAGCATCTTATAGTTCAAGTAAAGTGACATGAAGTGCAGAGGTATGTTTGACTGTAGTGTTTCACATATTTCTCCATGAACTTTTTAAGAAGACTTTAAGCGTTCGTTCGCTTAAATCCGAGCTCTCCAGACTCTTCATATCGGAACCAACAGCATGAACTGAGGTGAGAACACAAGAAAAAAACCTGTAAAGCAATGTATTGTTTTAATATTAAATTATTAATACTAGAACACATAGATGTCAGGGAAATTGTTTTTTTTTCTTATTTATTTTTTCTTAACTTATTTGACTGATAAAAGAGACAGCACCAGGTAGGGCTTAGCAGTTTATAGCTAGCAAACTTAAATATAAAAAGTGATGTCAAAAATCTTATTTTGAGCTCACAATAAAACTGAATCCCTTTATATATTTCCCTGAAAATTCCCTCAATTTATCCATAAATGATAGTGTAATGAGGGTATTGGTTATGTTGTTAAATTTAAGGGTTATTAACCCCTTAAAACCCCTTTAAACAACGCAAAGAGCTGTTTTAAAACCACTAAATATATAGACAAATATACATAATCCATTAATTTACCCCTAAATGGGATAAATCTATTCCTGAAAATATTTCAGACCCCCAGCATAAACCAGTCCCAACACTAATATCACTTCAAATTATAATATATAATAATAACTGTCAAATATCTCAAATGAATGTGTAAATTAAGGAAGTGTCTTCTACTTAATTTTTTAATCAATGGCTTTTTAAATTAGGGTGTTTCAGGTGTTTTATAAGGTGTTTAGTTTTCACCGGCTTTTCATATTGATGGACAAATTATTCTTCCATACCAAAAAACTTGATTTAGATAAAGATGTATGAAATGATCTTGTAAATAATCCAGTTCTTGCTTTTACTTACTTTTACAGACTAGATATTGTTATATAACTAGATATTTTTTTACATTGTTTTTCATGGAAAATATTATGTGGAATCAGACGTCATGGCTGACATGTCAGAGACAGATCCTTGTAGGCCTAAATCAGAGCCAGACTGTGATGGTGGAGAACTAACAGATAAAGGACAGGACGATGTCCCTTTTCCTGAGACTGATTTGTCATCCATGGAACATGATGTGGAAAGTAGGTCAAACTCAACTGAGGATATTACATCACAAACAGATGGCCGCTCCTATTACATCACATGGACAGTTTACATTGCTCTTGCTGTTCCAAGAGGTAAGTTTTTCATGCAGAACATAGAATAGATTAACATTAGCTCCACAGGGATGTTGAAAAGTACTCAAACTGAAAGTTGTAAGATGAGCTGGTGTGGGACTCTTAGGGTGCTGAAATGTACTAAAATCACCACCACAGTATAATGAAAGAAACAGAGATTACAGATTTCTTTCATCCTTTGTCTCATTCACAAACATTTGTCCCTTTTTAGAGGGAGAAATTGATGTCCCTGCAGCTCCTGAAAAGGCCAAGAAAACAAATAAAGACTCAACTACTGTTTTGGTGAAAGCCCATAAAGCTCAGAGCTGCTACCATATTGAATACAAGCTGT